TTAACACATATATATGGAATTTAGAAAGACAATAACAATGTCCCTATATGCAAGACAGCAAAAGAGACACAGATGTAAAGAAGAGACTTTTGGACTATGTGGGAGAAGGCGAGGGTGGGATGAGAGAATAGCACTGAAACATGTGTATTACCATATTTAAAATAGATGACCAGTGCAAGTTTGATACAATGAGCAGGGCACTCAAAGCCAGTGCTCTGAGACAACCCAAAGGGTTGGGGTGAGGCAGGATGTGGGAGGGGAGTTCAGGATAGGGGGGACACATGTATACCTGTGGCTGATTCATGTTATTGTATGCCAAAAGCCACCACAATATTAGCCTCCAATTAAAATAATTAATTTTCTAAAGAAGTTGTGTATGCTAAAGTTTTAGCCAAAGATCAAAACTATGGAACATGAAAGGATTTATATTGGAGAGCAGGCTTGCACAGGTAATAAATGTTGTATTGCTTTTCATCAAATATTCAGACCTTGTGCATAGTGAAGTAATTCATGCAAGTCAGAAACTACAGATAGACTGAATGTCAAACTACTTTAAGAAACCATATGTTTTTAAGATTCACCAAGAAATTCGTATTTTGGAGAATCTTTTCAAGTGTAATGAATTTGTCAAACTTTTGGACCAGTTCTTACAGCAGACTACACTAAGACAATTCATATTAGGAACAAATAAATCTTTAGTTCTCTGGCCTCAGTCTGTGATATTACATAGTGTAGAAAAATTATATTAAATATATTGAAAGTTATAGCATATGTATGTTAAATATGTTGAAAGTTAAGACATGTAGAAATAGCCCATTGTCTTCAGTGTGTAAAGTGTTTAATTACTTGAGTTTTCTTAAGAAGATGACATTACTATTTATGACTTTTCCTGCAGAAGTTTCAAAAGTGTTTTGTTTTATAGCTTTCTTACAGGTATTTCATGATGGTCTCTGAAAAGCAATCAGTGAGATAAAGGGGTTGACTTCATTAGGTCTAGTTAATTTATATCAATCTTTCCTTGGATAATGGGGACACAGAATTATCAAATTCAGTGGTGTATGAATTAGCGTCAGGAATGGGCAGAGAATACTGTAAAGCTATGACATGATTTATCATGCTCACTCTATTCAGGGTACCCTTCCACACACAGACCACAGTGTTTTTGGACAGTGTGCCATACCATCTGACCATCAAGAGAGCAGTTTTCTGAGTGGCTTTTAATCAAAAAAAGTCAAATCGTATATATATATGTGTATAGTTCACATTTAATTTCTGCTATTACCATTTGCTACTTTTTTTTTTTTCAGAATGTATCATGGGTCTCCTGTCTTGATTAATAAAATGTAGTCACTTTTGTCACAGCCCTGGATGACTTATGTTCCTCCCACTACAGTTTTATCCCACCTCAGTACTTTGTGAAAGTGAAAAGTGTTAGTAGCTTAGTCGTGTCCAACTCTTTGCGACCCCATGAACTGTAAACCACCAGGCTCCTCTGTCATGGAATTCTCCAGGGAAGAATACTGGAGTGGGTTGCCATTTCTTGAGGGGATGTTCCCAACCCAGGGATCAAACCTGTGTCTCCTGCATTGCAGGTGGATTCTTTATCTGTTTGAGCCACCAGGGAAGCCAGTACTTTGTAACAGAAGCTAAAAATGCAGCATTTGGCTCTTAGGGTTGAAAGAATCTATGATAATTTCTTTCCATGATGGAACCAAACAACATGCAGTTTGGGGATTACATGTTCATAATTTGCACTTCAGTTACTCTCCACACCCTTTCTTGAGTTACTTCTCCACACACTTCAGACAGCTGTAATGAAAATAGCATAGCAAAGAATTATCAGTGTATTTTGTGCAAAACTTGGGGAAATCCCCAGCGACCCACTGGTTAGAACTCCATGCTTCCCCACAGAGCCCATGGATTTGATCCATGGTCAGGGAAGTAAGATTCCACAAGATGCCAGGCAGGGCCAAAGGGAAAAAAAAAGTACAAAAATTTAACTTAGTAAATTTAAAGATAATTGAGTATCTTGAATGATTCATGCAACTGGAAACATCCCATCTAGTTAATCGAGGTGGCCAAAGGAGCTATACAAAAGGGAAAGCTTTCACAGGTAGAAACTGGATGGGACAAGAAGGTTATTAGCAAACCAAAAAAAAAGGGCATAGCTTCAGGTCTGATTTCCTATTTCAGGGTGGGGGAGAATGCAGCCAGAGTCTTACCCTGCAGATTATTTCACTACTGTCCACCTGTAAATTCCAGACTCAGTGCCTCCTGGTCATGATTCTAAAGAGGAGAGACACTACAATGAAGTGTGGATTTGGTGTCCTGGAGGCAGTGACACCATCTCGGGCCTGTCTTGTCTTTTGAACACCGGGTGAACCTTGCCATGCATCAGTGAATGTGCACCCAATAGATAGATCCCTTCATGTCCTCTTTGTGTTCCTTGATTTACATGAAGAGAAAATAAGAATATAGTAGGCATGTGAAATATTTAAGAAATAAAACAATGTCACAACTAAAGACAAAAACCACCTTTTTTGTGCTTGGAGCACTCAGTAAAATTGTTTGAAAAGATCAGTGTTCATGACTTTTTCTCTTATTTGACAAATAATGAAATTTTACCACCCACCATGGAGAATTTCTTCAGTCATTAGGCAGTGTCCTACAGTGACCCCATGCACTGTAGCCTCAGGCTCTTCTGTCCATGGGATCTCCCAGGCAAGAATACTTGAGTGAGTTGCCATTGCCTTCTCTTGGAGATCTTAGCATTCCAGAGATCAAACCTGTGCCTCCTGCATCGGCAGGCAGATTCCATTGAGCCATCTTGGAAGCTCCAAATAACAAGGTAGTCAAGGAAAATTGTTGAAAGAGATATACCAACTCACTGTCTTTATCCTCAGTGTAAAATGCCCCATGTAACCCCTGACCAGTCTCTTCCTTGTCCCAAATGACAGTTTAAAATTAAATGAGGCCTTTTTTCTTTTTAACTCACAGACTTGTTTCCCTTTAGATTTTTTTCCGAATCTTAAGCTAAAATGAGTCTCTTAAGTTTTAATATAAATATTTAATATAAATATTCTAGCATGAAAGTAGGTAAATGAAAGAAATCTATTTTAGGATGTCATTCATACCACCCTATCTGAACCTGAGAGATATACAAAAGGTTTATAGTTGTGAAATTATTTTAAATTATTATTTCAATGTTTGAACTAAAGTTTGTCTCAGAGACATGAAGTAGTTTTTTCTTGCTATTTTCAGTTCTTTCATTCATTTTTCTATCCACATATAAATTCACAGTGCAGATCACTACAGTGTAATGACTTTCTTCATTCCTTTGATAGCTTTAAATACATAGCAATGTGTATTCTTAATTTCACAGCCACTGTGCAGCTAGGCAAGGCCATGAGAACTTTTTTGCCAAATAGGGTGTAATGCATTATACCTCTCCATGACTAAATCTTTATATCTTATAAATAAATCACCTAGATAATGCTGTAGCAATCCAGTGGTTAGACTGATCTTTTATTCCCCAGGGGCTGGAATTCAATAGTTGGTTGGAGAAATAAAATTCTGCAAGCTGCTGCTTTTTGTTGTTCACTTGCTAAGTTGTGTCTAACTCTTTGCGACCCCATGGACTGCAGCACACTAGGCTCCTCTGTCCTCCATTATCTCCTGGAGTTTGCTCAGATTCACGTCCACTGACTGAGTGATGCTATCTAAGCATCTCATCCTCTCTGTCTCCTTTCCTTTTTCCTTCAATGTTTTCTAGCATCAGGGTCTTTTCCAGTAAGTTAGCTCTTTGCATCAGGTGGCCAAAGTATTGGAGTTTCAGCTTCAGGATCAGTCTTTACAATGAATATTCAAGGTTGATTTCCTTTCTGATCGACTGTTTTGATCTTGCAGTCCAAGGGATGCTTCAACAGTCTTCTCCAGCACAATTCAAATGCATCAGTTCTTTGGTGCTCAGCCTTCTTTATGGTACAATTCCCACATCTGCACATGACTACTGGAAAAACCATAGCTTTGACTACACATACCTTTGTCACCAGAGCAATGTCTCTGCATTTAAATCTGCTGTCTAGGTTTGTCGTAGGCTACAGTCACCATCTACAGTGACTTGGGAGCCTAAGAAAATAAAATCTGCCACTGTTTCCAGTTTTTAGCCATCTATTTGCCGTGAATTGATGGGATCAGATGCCATGGTCTTAGTTTTTTAAATGTTGAGTTTTAAGCCAGCTTTTTCACTCTCCTCTTTTTACCCTCATCATGAGGCTCTTTAGTTGCTCTTCAATTTCTGCCATTAGGATGGTATCATCTGCATATCTGAGGTTGTTGATATTTCTCTCAGAAGTCTTGACTCTAGCTTTTGATTCATCCAGCCCAGCATTTCTCATGATGCACTCTGCATATAAGTTAAATAAGCCGAATGACAACATACTCCTTTCCTAATTTTAAAGCAGCCAGTTGTTCCGTTTCTAGTTCTGTTGCTTTTTGATCTGCATACAGGTTTCTCAGGAGACAGGTAAGGTGTTCTGGTACTCCCATCTCTAATAAATTCCCACAGTGTGTGTTGAGTGTCTGTAGTGTGTGTTGAGATCCACACAGTCAAAGGCTTTAGAATAGTCAGTGAAGGAGTAGTAGATGACATATTAATGAGCCATAAAAAAATCAAGATTTTTGTCACTTAGGATAACCTGGATGAATGTAGAGAACATTGTGCTAAGTGAACTAAGGCAGAGAAAGACAGCTATTGTATGATCTCACTTACATGTAGAATCTACTAGAGTGAAAGTCAGTAACAGCCAATAGGATGGTGGTTTTCTGGATCTAGGAGTTGGGGAAGGTGGGGAGATGTTAAGGTATGAACTTTTGAGTTGTAAAATGAGTAAGTTCTGGGGAGCTATGTGCAGCATTCTAACTGTAGTAAATTCTTCTGTGTTACCACATACTTTAAATTTGCCAGTAGAGTAAATCTTAAGTGTTGTCACCATACAAAACATGGAAACTGGGAGTTGATGGATGTGTTGATGACTGGATTGTGATAAATATTCCAGAGTGTATACATCTGTCAAATGGTTGGTCACATCATGCATGGTAAGTATACACATATCTATTTCATTAGTTCTAGCTCAGTAAGGCTGGAAAAGAAGAAAGGAGGTGGGCTGGGTTTGCCACCTTTAGTGGTGTTCAACCCATGTTTCCCATGAGATCCATGAAGCATTTTGCAAAACCATGTATGGTAACCCCTACCCTATCAGACATCCTCAGATACTTGCACGGGTCCTAGTCCCAAGTATGTTCACAGTGCAGCAAATCTGATCTAGATCCTGCATTGAGCACCAAGGCTGTTAGCCTCCACTTCTGAGACTGAGATCAGCCCCAGGGATGAGGAGGCCACTCTGCTCAGAGTGGGGCTGGACCAGGGCCTGCTCTGTGACCTGAAGGGGATTGTTGGGTCAGCATAGGTGCTCCCTGTCGCTGTGTGCATGAGGCCTCACCAGGAGGGGAGTGTGATCCGAGGGAAAGTGTGGGAAAGATCCCATGTTGGTCTCTGTGCGGGAGTTGCCTGTCCTGAGTCCCTCCTGAGACAGTGACCACAGAAGTCTGTCTGTTCCCCACGGAGAGGGCTTCCCTGCATGTGTGGTTTGGGCTCAGGAAGGGGTAATGTTGATTGTAGGCATTAAACAGCATGTTTTCAACTTTCAGTATAAACCTCTGCAGGATGCCTGAGAAGAAACCTGGAAGAGGAAAGAACAGGAGTCAGGCATGGCTCTCTCTCAGGTAAGGTCATATTCTCAGTGGATTCTCAGTCTGTCCTTCCTGAATTGCCCTTCTGTGGACTTTCTAATTGTGGCTGACTCTGAAGTGTCCTGTCTGACTCCTGCACGTGCACACTCACCCGGGGCCTTCCTCAGGGTCTGTTGTCCTCACTTAGATCCTGCCTCCCCATGACCCAGTGACCTGGCCCTTGTGAGGAGGCTTCCCTGGGCACCGTCCTGGGCAGGGCTTCTCACCCATGGGTTGGAGACGGGGTCTCAGTGCTGTTGGGCAGCAGGGATTGCTTAGGGCCCATCTGGATATGCTGTCTGCTCTCTGTCAACCCGGGTAAAGAAGCTGCATGTGGATATCAGGTATTAACACTCACAATACGTGGTAAAATCTGGAAAAGAGGCGAATAAGGGGAAATCAGTCCTGACCATTTATAATACATTTAAAACTAAATGAGGACTTCCTTGAAAATCTTGGTGTTTGGGAATGGAATGGAAAGTTCAGAAAGAGACCTCAGGGCTAGGGGGCTTTTCATTCCATCATCTATTTTTCACTATGAAACCCAAGTTTACTAATATTTTTTTGTCTTCTTTGTCACATGATGCAGCTTGCAGAATCTTAGTTCCATGAGTATGGATTGAACCTGAAACTCCTGAAATGAAAGTGTGAGGTCTTAACCTCGGGACTGCCAGGGAAGTCCCCAACTTTACTAACCTTGGTTCATTGTTTTATTGTGGAATTAACAAATAAATTTTGGTTTTTGTTAATAACTACATACCTAAAATTAACTAAGGGTAAAATCATTATTTTTTTAGAAAAATTATTTATTTAGGTGTTCTGGGTTGCTGCTTGGTCTTTTCTCTAGTTGGCAGCAGTGGAGGCTGTTCTCTAGTCGTGGTTCTTGGGATTCTTGTGGTGTCATGTTGCAGAGCATAGCTGTATGATGCTTGGGCTTCAGTAGTTTCAGAACGTAGACCTAGTAGTTTGGGCTCTTGGGTGTTACAGCACAGGCTCAGTAGTTATGTCACTTGGTCTAGTTGCCCCGAGGCATGTGGCATTATCCTGGAGCAGAACCCATGTCTTCCGCATTTGTGGGTGGATTCTTTATCATTGCGCTATGAGAGAGGCCCTCATATTATTTTTGAATATAGGTATTTTATAGAGATTGGACTCAAAAGTGTTCTATTTATGTTTTTTATACATATACTACTTTTTCTTTTTTTTAAACTAATATGGTATTAGAGTTGAGACTTCCCTGTTGGTACAGAGGATAAGAATGTGCCTGCCAAGCAGGGGATATGGGTTTGATCTCCCTGGTCCGAGAAGATTCCGCATGCCCAGGAGTAACTAAGCCCATCCACCACAACTACTGAGCCCATGCCCGAGAGCCTGTGAGCCAAAACTACAGACCCCGTGTGTTGCAACTAGGGAAGCTTTGCACCTCTAGTTCACCTACAACCTGTTCTCTGTAACAAGAGATGCCACTGGGGTGAGAAGCCCACTCACCACAACTACAGAGTATCTCCTGCTCAGTGCAACTAGAAAAAGCCACACAAACTAGCAAAGACTAGCATAACCTAAACAAATAAACAAGCTTTAAAAAAAATGTAATACTGACAAACTTAAACACAGTTGATTCATTTTCATGGCCCCAGAGATGCTGAAATACATACGGCTAAAAGTGATAATGAGAAAAAGATTTAAAAATGTGTCAAGAGGCAACTCTTCATTTCAGTCAATTGTGTGTTTACATGTGCACACATGTGTGCATAGATATGCAACTTCATGATTTTATTACAAAACATCATCTCATAAATAAGCTTTGTGCTTTTTAACAGTTGAAATTATATCTTAAATATGTTAGTAGCCTTAAATTTTTTCTACCCCAGCACATGAATGATTTAAATAGTAATAAGATTACTGATATTGTGTGTGGGGGAGGGGTTGAGGAGTGACCTTATAAAATGACTTTTTATGGCCTTCCATTGCTCTTCAAATCCTGAAAGATGATGCTGTGAAAGTGCTGCACTCAATATGCCAGCAAATTTGGAAAACTCAGCAGTGGCCACAGGACTGAAAAAGGTCAGTTTTCATTGCAATCCCGAAGAAAGAAAATGCCAAAGAATGCTCAAACTACCGCACAATTGCACTCATCTCACACGTTATTAAAGTAATGTATAAAATTCAAATTAAACCCGAAGAATTGAAGAAGAGAACTGTCCAGCAGCCAACACGCACTAAAAGAAGAAATCATAGGTATGCACGGGTTGCAGGCTTTTCAGTCTGTCCCCAGACACTGACCATACCCTGGCTGCTTAGATGTTGTTGCTAAAACAGTGGATGAATATTACTAACAGGGGCTTCCCTTGTGGCTCAGCTGGTTAAGAATCCGCCTGCAATGCGGGAGACCTGCGTTAGATCCCTGGCTTGGGAAGATCCCACGCAGAAGGGAAAGGCTACCCACTCCAGTATTCTGGCCTGGAGAATTCCACGGACTGTACAGATCATGGGGTCGCAGAGTCGGACACGACTGAGCGACTTTCACTACTACCACCGTTCTTTCCTCAACGTATGACAAAAAGTTTATTTGGTCATAGACATTTCCATATTGTAATTATAGAAGAATATGGTATGTATTCAGATGATAAAGGCAACAGATTAAAAAAAACAGGCTGTAATTTATGGGGCCTCACAGGACTGGTAAGGACTTTCCTGGCCCTTGCCCCGCCTTGCTCTCGCTCTGCCGAGCCGGACGCGCCTCGCCCCGCCCCTCGCCTGCAGCGATCCGCCCAGCTCCCGACCCGGAAGCTCCGCCTCGTAATCCGCGCGTGCGCAGGTTTCCTGCGGAAGCGGAAGGCTGAGAGAGAAGGGAACCGGACAGCCATTTATTTTTTTCTCGTAGTGTAAACGTGTGCCGCGCGCTTCGCCGTCCAACCCGCTCTCGCCATGTCCATCTTCAGGGTCCGGGTGGTTCTGCGCAAGTAATATCCCAATACCCCGCCCTCCGCCCGAAATAAACCCAGAGGCCGCCGTTGCAGGTCGAGTATTCGAAATCGCTGTGAGGCTTATCCTTGCCGTTTGCTTTTCGGTCTTCGACCCCGGAGACACCGCCTTTCGGGATATTCTCCTGCTTTAAACTTAACCGTTAGTACCTACGCCTGTGCCTTGTAAAGTCCCCGGGCGCTAGGTGGATTCGGGCACGCCCACCTCCACCGCCTCACCCTGTCGGCCCCTGGAGGCCGCTTCGACAGCCCCGCTCCCGGGAAAGCCGCGTCCTCTCCCCGATCCTGGGATTCTGGAGACCCCGCCCGGCCCCCGAGACCCCCTCGCTCCCAGCCTCTCTGCCCTCGCGTCTCCTCAGGCCGATCGTTCTGCCCCGCAGGCCTCCCTTCCTGGTCAGTCCGTTTTCCTCACCCCTGGGCTGGACGTGTGACACCCAGTGTTTTTCCGTCACGAGTCCGTCTTGTTGGAACATGTGCTCTTTTGATAGACGGGCGTTTTCATTTACTCATCATTTCTGTAGATGCAGGGGCGAGTGGGATCAGAAGAAGCAGTGACTGAGAGTGAAAGGCAAATTCAGAAGTGGAAAACAATGAGAGAACCGACAGGGTCGCCCAGGATGGCTGAGGCAATTGCAAAGAGATGGTAAAATGAAATAGACTTAGCCCTTAAAGTAACGGGTGGGTGAAAGAGAAATGGACAAAGGCGTGGGATCTCCAGGAGTTGGGAGACAAGAAGACAGCGGCCCTGTGCCTGCGGTAGGAGAGCTGACAGGGGTGATCCTAGGAGAGAAACAGGGATAGGTGCTGACTAGAAGAGAAGGGGAAGTAAGGATAGACACCTGGAGTGCCCCAGAGTGTAAGAGGGAGAGAAGCGGTGTGCCTAGAAGGCAGAGAGGGAGCAGAGTTGGAGAAAGAGATGTATAGATGTTTAGGACAATTGGAAGGGTGGGGGTGGGGAGAAGAGCAGCAAGAGGAGAAACAAGTTGCAGAGGGGGCAGGACAGGTGTGAGGGAAGAAATAGGAAGGCAGAAATCCCACCTGAGACAGTTGACGGCAAAGGACTGTTCCACATAGTGAGGTCTTCCTGTTTTTGTGGTTGTGGCAAACGGAGGGGGGATGTTGATCCTAAGCCTTAAGCAGCCTGTTTTCCACTTGCAAGATCAACTTCTAGAAGCTTACATTGTCTGAGGAAGAAGCGGGGAAGAGGAGGAAAAAAGGAAAGAAAACAGGAATGGATCTTTCTCAGGTAAAGTCATATTCTCAGTTGATTCAGTCTGTCCTTCCTGAAATGCCCTTCTTTGGACTTACTAATCATCTCTGACTCTGAAGTATCCTTCCTGACACCTGTACATGTACACTCACCAGGGAACTTCCCTCAGGGATTGTCATCTCCACTTAGATCCCGTCTCCCCATGACCCAGTGGCCTGGACCTTGTGTGGAGAACACCACCCTGGGCAGGGCTTCACACCCATGGGTTTGAGAAGGGGTCTCAGTGCTCTTGGGCAGCAGGGATTGCCTCGGGCTCTTCTGGGTGTGCAGTCTGCTCTCTGTCAACCAGGATTAAGAAGCTGTCCTAGGAAGTCAGGTATTAACATGCACAGTACATGGTAAAATCTGGAAGTAGACCTAAAAAGGGAAATTTGTTCTAAGGTAATTGAAGCTAAGTGAGTAGTGAGGCACTGACTTCAAAATCTTGATTGGAAATGGGATGGAAAGTTCAGAATCAGGTATCAGTAATAGAGGGTGTGCTATTCCATCATCTTTGAAACTGTGACATGAGTCTAAATCCCGGAGAGTTGGAAATTCACTTTCATTGCCTTCATTCTTCAGATTTTGTCTTTTCACTGTGTTCGTTTTGTTGTTTGGCATAGAGATGTTTTTACTTTTGATGCAGGTGAGGTTTCCTCTTCATTGTTTAACCCATAGATTGACCATTTGTTATGGCAACTGTCTTTTTTCCACTGGGTTTTCTTAGCATTCTTGTCATTAGATTTTAAATACATGCAAATGGTTTTTTCTTAACCTTCTTTTTTGTTCCCTTGGTATATAAATCCATGTTTATGCCAGTACTACCCCATCTGGATTATATTGTGATATGGCTTGAAATTTTTAAAAGGGTGGCCTTCATCTTTCTTCTTTCTACTTATTGAAGAGTATTTTTTTCAGTTTGTGGTCCTTTGAGATTCGCTATGACTTCTTGCAAGTTTTTTTCTATTTCTGCAAACAGTTCAGTTCAGTTCAGTCACTCAGTCATGTCCTTGCATGGGTCCCTGCAACCCATGAATTGCAGCACGCCTGGCCTCCCTGTCTATCACCAATTCCCGGAGTTTACTCAAACTCATGTCCATTGCGTCGGTGATGCCATCCAGCCATCTCATCCTCTGTTGTCCCCTTCTCCTCCTGCCCCTAATCCCTCCCAGCATCAGGGTCTTTTCCAGTGAGTCAACACTTCGGATGAGGTGGCCAAAGTATTGGAGTTTCAGCTCCACCCTCAGTCCTTCCAATGAACACCAAGGACTGATCTCTTTTAGGATGGACTGGTTGGATCTCCTTGCAGTCCAAGGGACTCTCAAGAGCATTCTCCAACACCACAGTTGAAAAGCATAAATTGTTCGGCACTCCGTTTTCTTCACCGTCCAACTCTCACATCCATACATGACCACTGGAGAAACCATAGCCTTGACTAGACGGACCTTTGTTGCAAGGCAATGTCTCTGCTTTTAAATATGCTATCTCGGTTGGTCATAACTTTCCTTCCAAGGAGTAAGCGTCTTTTAATTTCATGGCTGCAATCACCATCTGCAGTGATTTTGGAGCCC